CCAAAAGGCCGTTTAATGGAATAATTTTGAGAATGCCAGCTTATGACCAAGAGTTGGACAAAGACCGAGTGGCTTATGAAATAATTTTGAGAATTTATGATGATATATGGTTTTGATCCTCGTGAGTTTTTGTGCTTCTTTAGGAACTTATAAAAGATTAGGTTGAGAATATGTATCTATGGCCTAAAAGACTCGAGGTCCAGATAATGGATTCCTTGAAGTAAGTTCGCATGTTTTCCCAGCTTTTCATTTCATGCTAACAATTTTTTTCTATCATTAAACAAAATATTACTTGGTCATTTGACATAGCAATGAAGAAAGCAGTCAGGATTCTTTACGTTGAAGGCCTCGTAATAATTTATCGCCTAGGGCCTCTAAATTCTCAGGGCCGATCCTGCTCAAGTGCAATATTTATTTAACCAATTTTAGTCTTCTATTGGATCAATATATATTGAGGTTGTCTCTCTTGTTGTTCTTCAGGCCCATGTTGAATTAATGACCATGAAAGCCAAACCCATCCAATAATGAGATACCAGTCTTTTATGAATGACACGCCCATCTTGACCATATCAATTCTAGTTATTCCTTCATTTTCTGTTACAACAAAATTTCCTCAAGTCTATTTTCATTATTACTTCTAGTCCAATTTACTGCTCATCAATGCCTTTCTTTAATTTTGAAATATTTTACAAAAAAAAAAAAATTATGTTTTTCTCATCTTATATGTTTTGTAGGAAGAAATTTCTGCCTATCAAAATATGTGCTCCTAACGTATTGTAGATGAATATTGAACTTTTGTGTCATGTACCTTCCTATAAGTAGATAATCATATAGTTTCTTCTCTTCAATTTGCATTTTAATATAAATTACAGAAAAACGTATACATGTCCCTTAAAGAAATTGAGATTCTGATCATTTGGTCGTCAATATGACATTGGAGGCATGTGAAGATTTACGAATAGGAGAAAAATGTCATTGTCGGCCTTAAGTTGTATGACAATGCGTGATTGTGCATTGCACATCTTTTCATTTGCTAATTTAATATCTATCTGTATGCATACCTCACACTGTTGTACATTATAAATTTTTGCATTTGTTAATATATTTAAAAATTATACGTTTTTACATTTTTATATCTACGCTATTACATAGCCAGCTACACTATAACATATGCCTGGCATGTGCATTTCACTAGTTATTCTTAAAAAATAATATTTTGAATAGTGATTTTAGAAAAAAATACGTAGTTAAAAAATAGGAAAAAAATTTAAATTATAAATAAAAAAGAAATACAAATCTTTAATTACCAACAAAATATTAAAATATTAATAAAAAATAAACGCTTCTTCATCGTCATTCAACGATGGAAGCATTGTTGGCAATTGTCAAAGACATCATAGAAAATTTTGCCGTCGATAATTGCTAATGAATGTGTGTTGTTGGTCAATAATGGTATTGTTATAGGTAATTCCATTTGACTCATCGACTGATGTTATTTTTTCTTAGGTACTATATGTGATTCTATAAATGAACATTTTTATATAATTGTTATTACTGAAGATATTGTTATCGATAATTCCATCCAAAATATAGATATATAGTTAAAAATAGTATGTAGAAAAAATAATTTTTTAAATAATAGTTGTCAAACAAATGAGTGGTTAAAAAATTGTGGATCACATAAAATATGTTATTAAAATCAATTGTTAATTTGACTTAAATTTTCATCATTTTTTAAACTATACCAAATAGGCTTAGGTTTTAGGATATAAGTCATAAGAAAACATTAGTATTGTGGTTCTTTTTTTTATTAGATTAAATAATTCATGAAACTGTGAAATTTTTAAAATTTTTCATCCAAACTCGTTATTCAAGTTTTGAATAAACGAATTTATTAATCAATCAATTATTCGGCTTTTGTGAGTGATTCACATGAATAACTGATTGTTAAGTTTGTAGTATTCTGATTAAGTGCATAAGGAGTTAGAGTCTATGATGAAGTGGGATCGTAAGGCAAAATAATAATTTCAAGATAACTTCAGATTTGTCCTTTTTTGGCGAATTGCTAGTCTAGGTAGATTGGAAATAGGCCAACGATCATAGCTCAGCGCCTTCGGCCCTGTTGTACGTCGAATTTTGGGCAAATTCCGTCGTTTATGCCCTCGATTAAGTGTTTTTGCCGTTTATGATAATTTTTATTTTGGTAATATCTCATTCAATAAAATCCGAATTCATATTCCATTTGTTGGAGGAGATCTTGAATTTTAGGAGTTTCCATTTAAGTTGTTTGTGTGATCGCGTTCGCCTACGTTAGAAATTAAGTCAATAAAATTTATTTGTAAAAAAATATTAAAATTTTCAAATTTAATGGAAAAAAATAGTTTGTTCGCAAATAATTAACTAATATTTTAATATTGGAATAATTATCAAAGTACAGAATTTTTTCCCCTTCTTTCTATTCAAATTTTTGATCAATCTTCTACTTTTTTTAGAAATAAAATATAGAAGTTAATCTTGACAAATGCTATTTTAAATTAAAAATAAGAAAAAGAAAATATGAAGAAAAAAGAAATGAATAAAGTTTCAAATTTATAAAACGGTAAAATAGGATATGATCTTCTTTTTTTTTTTTTAACTTTTAAACATGAAGAAGTTTCCCGGTAATAGTAAGTCCATGTTTGATGATCATCATTTGTGTAAAAATAATATCTTGAATAGTGAATTTTAGAGGATGTGTGGTTAAATAGTGGCAAAAAATTTTGGTTTACGCGTAAAATATTTTATTGTATATATGTATAATTGAAAAAGTTTATGAAAATAAGTTAATTTATTTTAAAATGAGGCAAACAGTGATTAAATAACTTTTAACAAGTATGTCTTGTTATATTTTCAAGAAAGAAAAATTCCATCAATCATTTATTATGAGTGTGTTTGAGTCACATTATTTTGTAAAAATGTATTTTAGAATAGTAGATTGATGGATTATGTGTGATTGAAAAAGATGAAAAATTATTGATGTGATAAAAAATATTATTTTATTGAAAAATGTATTGTTGAAAATGAGTAGAAGAATGAAAATTTTAGTGTTGCACAAGCAGGAGGCTATATTTATATCTCTTTATCTTTTTCAAGGAAATATCACGAGAATTTGAATTTAAATTAAAGTTTAGCAAACTAAGGGTATGTTTGATGAATATTATTGAGGAAAAATGTATTTTAAATAGTAATATGATGAGAAATATGTGGTTAAAAAGTAAAGAAAAGTTATTGATTTGATGAAAAATATTATTTTATTGAAAAATGTTTTGTTAAAAATGAGTTTCGAATATTTTAAAAGAATGTGTGTCAAACATGAGCAGTGTGTCCTTTTGATTTCAAGGGTAGAAAATTGGTGGAAAGAAAATGAATTTCAGAGAAAGTAATTGTCTAGAATTTATTTTTCAGAGAATTGTTAATTAAGTGTATTTGATTAGCCTATGTTTGTCTATCATTATTCTAAAATATTATTTGTTATAGTAAGATTCTCCACAACACATTCACTCAATAAAATATTCTACACACAAATCAATAAAGTTACTTTACTTTTCAACCATACATCCTCCAAAAAATACTATTCATTACTCTATTTTTCTCTCAATTATGATAGACAAACACACTATTAGTATAATTTTCCACCAGAAAATTTTTAAAATTTTGGATCTTTTGTGTTCGTTTGACTTTATTTTATATGGAAATTATTCATTAAAGTGATAATTTTTTCCATAATTGGTTATAAAATTTGTTTCCATTGCCAAAAAAGTAAAAAAAAAAAACGAAAAAAAATAAAATTTTCTAAAAAATCATTTTTTTCATTAAAATTTAGTATTCGTTTGGCTTTGTTTTACATGAAAATTGTTCATTAAAGTGAAATATTTTTTTTTTACTGTTGGTTATGAAATTTGTTTCCAATGCAAAAAAAATAAAAATAAATAATAAAATAAAATAAAAAAGTTAGAATTTGAATTCACTTCACGCATATAAAATGGCGGGTGAGGTGAAATTTTTTTACACAATTGGCATGGAAAATTTTTGACATCAAACACTACCAAAGATGGAATGCTATCAAACACTACCTAAGTTCTTGTTTGGTAAAAATTATTTCTTTCAAAATTTATTATTAAATATATATTTTTTCTTAATTAAATAATTTTGTGAATTCTTATTCACATATTATAAAAAATTCACTTTTTCACAAAATTTATTCTAAAAAATCTACAAATTGAACTCTAAAATTAATCTCAGTTGGATATTGTTGAAATTTCAAATGACTATTGATGAAATTTACCCAAAATATTGACATTGATATTGATGCACAATTGAAGAAAATATCAAGTGCGATCATAGTTCTGTTTGATCTCCATTTTTTTAAAATTCATTTTTCTCTAAAATTATTTTTAACCACTTCAAATTAAATGATTTTATACATTAATTAAAAAAATATCATATTTTTTTAACTATACTTACTCCAAAAAATTACTATTATAATACTCATTTTCCACAAAAGAAAAATAGGCTCCAACAAGGGCAATATTAAGCCCCCTATTTGGTACACATTTCTTCAAAACTCCTTTTTAAAAACATATTTTTCAATAAAATAATATTTTTCATCACATTAATAACTTTTTCCTTATTTTTTAACCTCATATTTTTATGATATCAGTGTTTAAAATATATTATTTTCTCAATAATATATTAACATCCATCAAATTCACCCTAAATTATTTTACATTTATTGGCTTATTTTCCAAATAATTTGTATATCGTTTTATTTATTTAATTTTTAATTTTAAAAGGGAAAGTAGACCCTCCTCTCCTCTCCTCCCTCTAATTTCACTCAGTTGCTTCTGTCTAAATTCTCCTTTCTTCTTCAGGAAGAATCGTCTGGTTTTTTTGTTTGTTCTAGAATTTAGAGAACCCCCTCTTTCTGTTCTTTTCGTTGAAGTTGAAATTACTTGGGAAAAATGGAGGAAGGTGGAATAGCAAACAACGTGGCTCGAGCCATACTCGCTGCCCTTGACTGGAAGTCCTCTCCCGAGACTCGCAATGTTGCCTATTCCTACTTAGAATCTGTAAGTTCGTCATGAATTTTATTTCTTTTGTAATCTTAGTTAATTTGTTTTGAATATCATTTTGCGGTTTCAATTTGTGTTATTTTCCTTTTTAACAGTTTTAAGGTGAAATAAATATATATAGATTATTGGTGACCGTGGTGTGAAAGTTTAGATGCTGGTCTTTTCATTTATTCGGGCATGTGGGATTTGATTCTGTACAGTATTTCTTCAAGTTTTTTACCGACTTAAGGTCTTGTTAGCATTTCATTGTTTATTGTTTGCCAGGAATTTGAAAAAATCCCCCTGAGTTGGGTAACTGTGGCTTTCAATTTTTGTTGTTTTCCTTTTCAAAAGTTTTAAGATAAAATAAACTATAGATAAATGGTGGGTGACTAAGGTGTAAAAGTTTAAATGCTGATCTTTCCATTTACCTGGGCATGTGGGGATTGTGATTTTGTACAGTATTTGTTCAAGTATTTTTATCAGTTTAAAGTTTCGTTTGCATTTTGTTGTTTACTGTCTTACATGAATTTGAAAAAAGAAAAAAGTTCCGAGTTGGGTAATTGTGGGGAACTAGGGAGATGAAAATTTTAGGGATGATGATACATCCATCCAACCCTTCTCTCGTTTTCTTAGTTAGTTGTGATATTTGGTTGCCCAACTGAAATAAGTATGAAATAAGACTTTATTGGATTCAGCTTTGTTCATGTGATAATTGGGGAAGGTGGGGAAGGTTCGTTACCAAATGTTTATTGATGACCATAAGATTGTAGGGGTTGAAAATTGTTGAAATGTAAACTCTTTCATATGCATGCAAAGATATCTATTCTTTTCGTTTTGATAGATCTCAGATATTCAAAGTTTCACAAGGTTTGATCAAAGTCTTTAGAAGTCTTTTCCTTTTGGGAGGTTTTTCACTATGATACCAGCCTTGATGTTAGGCTTAGTAATAAAGTATTGCTATTTAATTTTGATATTTTTCTCAGCTTCCATATCTATTGCTTGAGATTTCAATGCTGCAAAGTCATAAATCCTGGACATTGTACGTTAAGGTTTCACTTTTATATGCTGAATAGTGGACATCTTTAGAACTTTCTGCAAATTTTTGGAATTTGTCAAAATATTGACTTTTTTCTTGAACTCTTTTATATGAAAATACTATACTGCTGCAATTTAATCTACATATTTTCATGTGCACAGTTTTAGAGTTAGGATCTGTAATTCCTTCAGTATGTAGTTTCTCTTAGGAACATCTTGCTCATTTCTGATTTCCCATTCTTCTAACTGACGGGCTTGGTTAATGGAAAGATCCTTCTTTTTCTTTTTTCTATAGCTTCCATATCCTTATTGTCAGGGTTGGTTCATTTTGGTGTCCATGGAAGCAAGCAGTAAACCTTGGGTCAATTTCAAAGCTAAACTTATTTTCTATGACTTCCCAATATTGTTGTATTCTGGATAGTCTGTTTAATGTAAATGCTTCTGTTAAGTATCTTAGTGAAGTGATTAATAAGCATGTTTGGGAAGTGTTTATAAACATTTATATTATAATAGATAGAAAGAAGTGGTAGATAAGTGGGTTTGAGTGTTTATAAACTTGAGCTAAACCTAGTCTTAGATGTAGTTGCTTTACTAGTTTCTGGTCCGCACTTGGGGTGGTACTTCCTGAAACATGCATACCATGCATGAGGATGAATAGGATTTATTAGCATTGCACCATGTTACTTTTTAAAGTACACTGTTATTGAATGCATCCGTTGCTAACTTTTATTCTGGAATTCTTTCCTTAACGTTATTCTTTGTCATTGCAGCCACATAAATAATTAGTTTGAAATCAAATTTCTATTCAAAGATTTTCTTTCATTTCATTACTGCCTATGGAAATCATTTTAATATCCAAGTCCTTTCCGATTTCAAACATGTTCTTAATTTGTTAACTCTTATAGTCTTATTGTGTTGCAGATAAAAGCCGGGGACGTGCATATCTTGGCAAATACATCCTTTATTTTAGTTAAGAAAGATTGGTCTTCTGAAATCCGGTTGCATGCTTTCAAAATGCTCCAGGTCCATTCTCATTCAGATTTAATTTTAGTTTATTTTATAAAAATAAAAAACAAAAGGGAACTTGTTGACTTTAACTTTCATTTTTCTTTCAATAGAGAGGAATATTCTATTTTCGCAGGGAGATATATTCACTTTTGTTATTGTTTTCTAATTGATTAAATAGTGTGAAATTGACATTTTTCTTTTTATATTATCCTTGATGATGCAAAGCAAACGGCAAAGAAATTGGTTGCGAAAGATGATTATAGTCCTTGATGTTATAGTATGAAAGTTGCTTTTATAATTAGTCTTTCGGCATGCGTAATTGTTTTCGAAATTGCCAATTACTGATGTTTGTGCTGAATCCTGCATGTGTTTCTAGTTATGTAAACGCATATTTTTTGGTTTCAGATACCATGTACAAAATTACGTTTGACTCTGGTACTTCTCATGTTTCTCCTTTTCCTAATTAATCCATATCCTATTAATTAGCAGCAAAGCAAACACTCTGTAAGGAGAGGATATGATAACTTTAAGGAAGAAGAGTAAGAGGGACAGGAACACATTCTGTTGCTATTCTTCTCAAAAATATCCATCAATGAATTGTGCAAGTTGGAAGTGTAGATTGGATTCTCAATTCATTGAAAGCTCTCCTAATTCCTTGTCTCCAATTGACCCCTGATAAAACAGTGACGTGCTACTTTTCATAACTTCCTACAACTCCTTTGGTACTATCAATAAAGCCTCATTGTCAGCCAACTTAACCATGGAATAGGAAAGTACTGAAATTCCTTAATTCATGAGAACCATGCTAGGAATCATCCCACCCCTTACATATGGTTGTTTTTGTTAGTTGTAGACAGAGAGAGGGTTAGGGCATCAAGGGATTAAGACGTTGGGACCCGTTATCAGCCTTTTTTTACCCAAGCCTTTTTTAACCTTATTAGTAGATGTTTAGGGAGGTTGATCAACAAGGCAAATGAGGTTTCTTTGATTGAAGGATTTGAAGTGGGTAGGGACGAAGTGTCAATGTCTCATTTACAATCCGCTAGTCACACCTTTCCACCTAAAAGCATGTAAGGAATACTTTTGAAGTATGGCTTTGTCTTTTTAAACATCTTCACCTTCAGCAGGGGGTGACATTTGAAATAATTCAGTCATCCTTTGGATGATAACTCTTGCTGAGATTTCTAGTCTCTGATGGTTGAAATTGTTTCTAAGAGATTATATGGAAAAAATTGTTTTTGTCGAAAGAGGAAGATTAACACCTATCAAATCAACCTTGTCCAGTCTCACTATTTATCACATCTTTATTTAGAATTCTAGGTGAGATTGTTGTCAATTTGGAAAAGTTAATGAAATTTTTTATGCAAAGAGAGTGAGGGAGGTCTCCAGCCCTGTGTTGCTCGAGCTCTCCAAAAATGGAGAAGTATCCGTGACGACACGACGCAACATGGATACTGACGCGGGATATGGATTAGATCCTTTGGCTTACACTCGGACACGGCAGCAAAAGGGAGAAAATGGTGGAAGGTGAGTTTTGCTTCTCTTGCTTTGCGTCGGCTGCATCAAAATTTACAGAAAGAGTGTAACGACCCAAGCTTTAGGATTCGAGTGATACTAAAATCGTATATTGAACAAAAAAAAATTGATTTCTCGAACTTGAAATTTTATTAAATATTCTCATAAAAATATAGTTAATCTTTAACTTGAAACTTGACATCAAATAAAAGTTTACTAAATTATACTAAATAAGTTCTTAAATAAATAACCATGAGCCTAGTGGGTCTCTTTTTCAGTTGTCACTTCGCCAGCCTGGGCCTTGATTACCACAAATCTTTAATTTCCTAAAACAGGATAAAGGGGGTGTGAGATAAAATCTCAATAAGCATATAAGTACATGGATTAAAAATTGTACAACATTTAAGGAACTTCATACATGCATACTTATTGAGACACAAAAATCTATACCGAACATAGGTGGTATGGAATTTTCATGCGTAGCGTTACTATACTCCGGTCCAAACTTAAATCATACATAAAGGACCTCATAATCAATGTTCCAAAAACATAGCGTCCGTATATAGTCCCATAAAATATTTATATATGCTCTGTTTGGGAGGAATTAAATTTTTCTACAGTAAATCAATTCTCATTTTCAATCACGCATTTTTCAATAAAATAATATTTTACATCACATCAATAATTTTTCTTTCCTTTTCAACCACACATTCTTCATCAATTTACTATTTCATAATACATTCTTTCAAAATAATGTGACTCAAACACACCCTTATTCACGCATTTTTCAATAAAATAATATTTTCCATCACATCAATAATTTTTTTTTTCCTTTTCAACCACACATTTCCCATCATAGTACTATTCAAAATCAATTATTCCCCCAAAAATCTCTCCCAAACAAGCTCATAATTACCTATATCTTGTGGAAGTGATAAGAAAAATATTGGAATATATTTAATACTTCAATCCTTGAGCCACATACTAATGAATATAATATATTCCTGTTCTCTGTGTGTATTTCACAGAGAAATGAATGTAATTGAAAAGGGAACATATGATACCTATTTATAAGGACCACCGTGCTTTGGGAATTCTAATTCAATTAAAGTGGTAAAATCTCATCATTATCTCAACCATATTTCGGTTAATGAGATGAGATAATGAATTTAAAATTAAAAAAAAAATTATCTCCATAATTTCTAAAATTAAATAAATGGGAGAAAATCAAAATAGGGCTTGTTTTAGTCCTCTTTTTTTTTTTTTTTTGCAAAAAATGCATTTTGCAATAGCGTTATGATTGAGAATGTGTAGTAAAAAATAAGAAAAAGTTTTGAGTTTGCATGTAATATTATTTTATTGAAGAATGTGTGATTGTAATGGGCCAAATCACCGTTTAAAATACATTTTGATGAAAATGGGGCTCAAGTAAGGGCATTATCTTAATAATTTAAAATTTCAATTGTAATTAAGAGAGATAAAATTGAAACATTATCTCCATCATCTTTTAACATTAAATAAGATATAGATAAAATCAACATACTATCTCAATTTGAATTTGGTTTAATCTCAATTCATTTAAAATTTTAATTTAATTAAAAGAGATAAAATAAAAACATTATCTCCATTATTTAATTAAAATTAAATAAGATTTAACTACTTGGGCTTAAGTCCAAAATGAAAAATAAAACAAAAGGTGTGGGCTATCATCTCACATAATTGGCTTTTTATGTAACTGACCTAGTTAAAATATTAATTATGTCTATTTTTTTATAACGGGTCAAACCTAAATTAATAAAATTAGGCCATAGGTACGGGTATTACAAAGAGAGTTGGGGAAGACAATAAAGTGGGGAAAATGATGGGTTTTGGAAATGTGTTAAATGGGCTCTTGAGAAGTCCAATGAATAGAGTTAATGAGAGTATGTTAAATGAGCTCTTGTGAAGTCAATAGATGGAATTAATGAGTTTATTTTTGTATTTAGAGCCTGTTTGAGCCCCATTTTTTCTCCAAAAATACATTTTTTAATAGTTGTTTGATGGAGAATGTGTAGTTAAAAAATAAGAAAAAAATTTGGGTTTGCATATAATATTATTTTATTGAAGAATGTGTGGTTAAAAATAAGAGAGAAGTGTATTTTAAAAAAAATGGGTACCAAACAGTGGCTTAATTTAATTTAATTTGAGTTTATTTTTGTATAAATTTTTTTCTCATATTTTATCTTTGTAAACATATTATGTTGTAATTAAAATGATTTAGTGCTATATCTCTTTTGGTATTAAATTCAAATTTATGTCTATAATTGATTTTTAAATAATATATAAGGCCCTTTTTTGGTTCCCATTATTTGCAACATTTTCTCTCTTATTTTCAATCACACGTTCTTGAATAAAATAATATTACACGCAAACCCAAAACTTTTCCTTATTTTTTGACTACACATTTTCCAAATCACTATTCTAAAATGCATTTTTGGAAGAAAAAAAATGGGGCTCAAACATGCTAATGACATCGAAATTCATTTTTTTCTTTAATGTTTTTGAAAAGAATTTATTTTGACTCTAAATTTTAATTGGTTTCAAATTATAATCCAATTGATTTTATCGAAGGAGTTGATAAACAAAATAAACCACGATTTCATTTTTGAACAACCAATATCAGTTAATTTGTGTACAAGTTAATTTAATATTGTGGTTTATTGCTTTAATTGAACCATTTCCTCTTTGTTATTTTAGCATTGTTCTATCATTGAAAAAAAGAAAAATTTTTCAGAAGTATCCCCCGTACCTATATCCAATATTTGAATCATTTTTAATCGTATCCCTGTATCTTAATTTTTATAATGAGGAGGATCCAACTCCTATACATGTACCTGCACCCGAGTCCGAGCATTATAGCTCCAACCCTTTTTTTTTTTCTTTTTCTTCCTCCAATCCTATTTTAATGCTTTGATTGATCTTCCAATTTTTTCCTATCTATGGGGTTTTCAACTTGGATTGGAATTGTGGCGATCCTTATGGGGTTAAGGTGTTTGCACGTCTAGTTATTCATAGGGATCATATTGTGACTTAGTGCGAAAGAAAAGCCATCATATTTCTCTTCTCGTTCTTGGAGCTTGTTTGGTAGGGGTTTTTGGGGGAAGAATTGATTTTTGAATAGTGATATGATGGGAAATGTGTGGTTGAAAAAGAAGAAAAAATTATTGATGTGATGGAAAATATTATTTTATTGAAGAATGTGTGGTTGAAAATGAGAATTGATTTGTTCTCAAATAAAAAACAAACACCCCCTTGGTGTGTGTTGTGTAGGAAGGATGTGGAAAGCATTGACCATTTGTTGCTGCATTGTTATATTACAAGATATTTGTGGAGCAGGTTACTAAAAGATGCTGGCTTTGTTTGGTGTTTCTCAGAAATGTTTGTATTACATAACCTCTTGATTTAGGGTCAGGAAAGTCAGAAAGACGCACATATGGAAGTATGTTGATTTGGCAATTTTTTGGGTCCTATGGATGGCAAGGACTACCTGAGTTTTTGAAGAGAAGGAACAAGAAACATTTCATGTGTGGGAAAGTACCAAGTTTTTAGCTTCTTTATGGGCAACCACAATTAGGGAATTAGAGATTTTTTTTTCTTTTATTTGATTCTTCATGGTTGAAAAGGTGTATTATACAGTTGATTAGTTTTCTGTTTTTTGACAGAAGATTCCTTCTTGTCTTTTTCTTTATAGATTCTATTACTTTAAGTCATGTTTCTTATAAAAAGTGAAATCCAGGGCAGGTTGAAGTGATTTGTGAATCACATGACTGCATATATAACTTCTCCATTTCTAAAATTATGTGAACACGTAATGTGTTTTCAAACATGCATGCGTCAGTTAAATGTATTCCCATCGTTGGGGTTATGGATTTTCAGTTTTGAGGGGAGTTTCTTAAAAAAAGAAAAAATCCATTTATTAGTGTAGAAAACAAGATGATGTTGATTAACTGATAATGTACAGACTTGCTTTCTACAACTCATGATTATTTTTGTCAACGTCAGCGTTCTCAGATGATGAAAATTGTCATTATTAAATGACAAGGGGGGGTCTCATTCTTATTTTCTTATTATTATCACCATCCTCATCTCCTTTTACTTTGTGTCATATCATATTTAGTCCCTATTTGGGCTCCATTTTTCCAAAAACTCATTTTCAACCCCACATTCTCTCATAAAATAATTTCACGTAAACCCAAAACTTTTCCTTATTTTTTAACCACGCATTTCCCCCCAAAAATGGGGGTCAAACAGGGGCTTAATGATCTTTTAATAAGGATGAGTATATACCACCTGCCTCAATTTATTTGACATCCTAAGTTCTGACTATCAATTTTTCATGTTGATTGTAGCATTTGGTGCGGTTGCGATGGGACGAGTTAAGCCCTACGGAGCGAAGGAACTTTGCAAGTATGGCTGTCGATCTAATGTCTGAAATTGCAAACCCCTGCGAAGAATGGGCTTTGAAAAGTCAGACAGCTGCTGTTGTTGCTGAGGTTCTTCTCTATTTCCTCTTTGATTTTCGCCCATGTTTTTGCCTCTTTTCTTGTTGTTTGTGCCCATCTGTCTCCTTTTGTTGCAGATGGTTAGGAGAGAAGGCTTAAGTTTATGGCAGGAACTTCTTCCAATAATAATACGTTTCTCCAGCACTGGTCCTATCCAAGTAATCCATGTCATTTTTTGTGTGTCGGCTGTAGTTTCACTTGTTTATGATCTTTGGTCCTATATATGGATAGTTATGATGCTGCTTTCTAATCATGTCAGGCTGAGCTGGTAGCAATGATGCTAAGATGGCTTCCTGAAGACATTACTGTTCATAATGAAGATTTAGAAGGTCTGTGGATCCGGGCACGAATGTATATATTCGTGTTGATCTCTGTAAACAAAACTTTAGCTGTTCTGTTTTCCTCAATTTTTTTGACCTTTTGATTTGAAAACTTCACTTTTTGATTTTTCATTCTAAATTTTTGTTGTATAAATGAGAATATTAAGTCTTGAACCAATATTTGATTGAATTTTGTGTTTGCTATTGGCATTTATCTTAATCTTGAAACTGAGTGGATTAGTACTGATGTTTATTTACATATCTTTTCTTCTTGCCTTTTTTAACTTTATTCATGATGTTCCAAATTTAGGTGATAGGCGCAGGCTTTTATTACGGGGGTTAGCTCAATCTTTGACTGATATTTTGCCACTGTTATACACTGTAAGTTTTTCCTTCCGCTATCAGAATAGGAACCTTTTCTAGTCTTGTTTTGATGCCCTCTTCCTTATTAGTTATTAGAGCTACACTATGGAGCTGCACTCACTGAAGCAAGTAGGCAACAAATGGATATTGCAAAACAGCATGCAGCAGCTGTAACAGCTACTCTCAATGCTGTTAACGCGTATGCTGAGTGGGCTCCTTTACCAGCTCTTGCAAAATATAAAATTATACACGGGTATGATATCCTTTATCTTTTCCTGCAAACTATAAACAGTTTTCAGATAGAGTTGACTGCCATTCACTTTCTCACTCTCTCTTCTCGTGCACACATGCAAATATAAACAGTTGTGGATTCTTACTCAATGCTCCTGATTTTCGTCTTCATGCATGTGAGTTTTTCAAACTTGTCTCGCCGAGGTAGGAATCATAGTTTCTTTCTTTTCATGTCATTTGCCAGAATTATGAGCTTTGGAACAAAATTGATGATGGTTACTAGTATTCGTTTTGGTTTGCAGGAAAAGACCAATAGAAGCCGCTTCAGACTTTGATTCCGCAATGTGTAATGTTTTTCAGATTTTAATGAATATTGCAAAAGATTTCTTGTTGAAATCGAGCTCTGGCGCTAGTTTTGAAGAAAGTGAATTTGAGTTCGTGGAATACATATGTGAAAGTATGGTTTCATTGGGTTCTGCACACTTGCAATGCTTGGCCTGTGATAGCACAGTTCTCTCTTTTTACCTTCAACAGGTTATGTTTCAATCTTCAGCATCTTATGGTTTGGCGGTTTATGTGAGTTCTGTTTGCAAAATATTGGTTAATATTCATGTTGAGGAGATTTATGTTGACGATCAGTTGTTAGTTTTTGCAATGACATGTTTCAATGCTTTTGAAAACATTTGTCATTTATTGTAAAATGCACTAATTTCTCATTTCTCATTTATAATACACAATGTTGAGACAGAAGTAGTTATGTCGTAGGCATGTTTCCTGCATCTAGCAGGTTTCTAAGTTATTCTTCTGAGACATGGACTCAGTGTCTCACCAATATAAGTTGCTTTAGAGTTGTGAGTAAGAAATAGAATAATCCACGGAACGCAATTGGAATACAAACACATGGGTTCTAAAGAACTAAGAACTACTAATATATCCATTCAGATATTCTAGTAAAAGTTGAAAAATCAGGTGATAACAGCTTTCTGAAATCATCTAAAACTGTTAAAAGAGTAAAGGATTGGAGTTGTTTGAATATATATTCAATCCAAAATTTGTCGTTTAAAGTATTATAATTCTCTCTCTTCGCCTTTTGCGTGCTTTCCTTTTTGGAAAACTTTGATCTAGTTAAGGCAGTGGAATTTATTTGATGATGTGTTCTATATATACTCATTTACTATATTTTTTGGATCACTATGGGAGTTTTCTGTCTTTATGTAGGGAATTGGATCTTAGCCCAAGTTTTTTCCCGTCAGGAAATTCTCTTGAACCTAAATTCCATTCTCACACATTCTAAATTTGTCAATCTTCTGAACTTGAGAATTTTTCTTATTCTTTTACTGCGTGTTGCATGTGGTGTTTGCTTGTTTTGCATTATTTGATATGTTTCCACCTCTGAACATACACCAACAGTCAATATAGTATTTGGATCTGAATATTTGGTTTTTCTTGCTCCTCTTCCATTTTTTTTAATAATTTCAGATGCTCGGCTTTTTCCAACATTCTAAGCTTGCACTTCATTATCAATCTCTACTCTTTTGGCTGGTATGTATTACTCATAAATTTAATGTTTGGACAATGAAATCCATTTACATATAAGGTTTCTGAATAATTTCGTGTTTATTCTTGCTATGACAGGCATTGATGCGTGACTTGCTGTTCAAATCTAAGACTGCTGGCATAAGAGACAACGACCTGAGCTCAGGCACAACACAAGCTCATAGTGAAAAGAGAAAGATATTAGATTTAGTAAATGATGATATCTGTAATGCTATGTTAGATACATCTTTCCAACGCATGCTGAAGAAAGAAAAAGTTAATCCTGGGATGGCTCTTCATGTCGGAACATTGGAGTTGTGGAGTGATGATTTTGACAGCAAAATAGATTTCAGTCAATATCGTTCAAGGCTGGTATGTTCTACATGGCTATGTTTATATTTGAACTAGTTTACAGAAGCTCTCATAATGATTTTGGATTTGTGGCTGGACTGTGCATTATATTTAAGTGTCGAAGCAAGTACGGGAATAAATTTTTGGATTTTAAGGAAGAAGAAAGAGCATCAGAAGATAGTTTTGGATACCATTCTAGGTTACCAGAATTATTAAGCTTACTCTTCTTTTAGATCCTCATCCAAATCATATTGTAACATTTGGAAAAAAGCATTCTGAGCCCTGACCTTTGCCAATTTAAACTTGGCTTTATTAGTGTTCTGCCTGTATGTGTGGACTATTTATTCTTTTAATAAGTGACGTTTAGCTTCTCTAAATTGGGAGTGCCATGTAGTTCCATTCCTAAATGAATTGTGAATTTGGTAAAGGGATTTATGGAGAGTGTATGATGGCGTATTACTACCCCATGAGTTGAAATAAGTCATTGTCTTGGTGGAGAATTTTTCTCTGCTAGTAACTTATTTTAAGGGATCAAAAGGTATGTCCAAAGCGGTTTTGATGGTTTTGTGTGCTTGCCAAGTAGTAATGCTGCACTTGCACAAATGATATTTGCATTTTGGAAAAAGCAAGTGGGAAAGCTTCTTACGAGGTATGCAGGTTTTGCTTCTTTGGGACAGAATGGAACTTCAACATTTCCACTATCGGTAAAACAGGTTTATTTTGTTTTAAGTAGCACACATGGCCATGCCTTGAATAGTTGGTTAATAGTTATTCAGTTTTTGGTTCACTTTGGGAGGATTTCGCATTATATGCACGTATTATCATCTTTCAATGTTGTCTTACATGTGGAAGGCTGCAGAGACTTGGCAAGGGATATTTTTGAATCTGAAACAGTACACTATTTCTGCAAACTAAATAATAGTCGATATCGCATTCAATCCCTATTATTCACTGGTGTGAAATTTCTCAATTATAAGATTCCACTTTGATGCAAAAATCAGCCCTCTTTATTGCATTAAATCAATGTAAGACGGATTGAACTAGAAAATATAAGAGAGAAGAAAACAAGGAAAATTGTGTTTTGGAATGTCGAGTAGTTTGGTGTTCTCCCCTCTCCTGTTAGATCACGGTAATTGGTGAAGCATATTAAAATTATAATTAGGTCATTGAAATAAAATTTTGCAATTGAAGAATGGACACACTGTTGTCCAAATTTTCTTTTTAAGCATGTAAGGGGTATGATATTCTCTCATCTTGACTGTTGAGCGTCTTTACAATAGCCTTCATGGTCTTCCGACCTATGTCCCGGCCAAAACAATTTTTCGGTGATTCTCTTTCCAATGTGAATTTGTGATTAATTCATTTATGCATATTTGGGATGATCAGAGCTATATTAACCACTGCACCTTGCAATAGTCTGTAGTAGATGTCGGAGGAATACCTAGAAGAATCTTGGTGAGGGGTGAAAAAGGACTTTATTATTAATTATGAAAGAAATTCAAAGAAGAAGTTGAGTCCTCTCAGGGCCACTGAGGTGAGTGACCATAAACTTCAGGGCCCCGTGGGATTAGTCGAGGTACGCGCAAGCTGGCTCGGATATCCACGGTTATAAAAATAAATAAAATTCATAGAAGAAGCATTTTAGCATGACATATGATAGTGTAAGTTAGGTTGGTAGAAAAGTAATGGAGAGACTAAACTAAACTAGCTGCAAAAGAATATATTGTGGTTTAACAAATCAATTAGAGGCAGTTTATCGCTTTCTTTTTTCCTGCAGTTGGAGCTGTTCCGTCTTATTGCATCTGATAAGCCCCTTGTAGCTGCTGCTAAAGTTTCTGAGAGGATCACTGAGATTATTAGTAGCCCTTTACTTGTTCCAATACCTGCTAAGGTAGGT